ACGGTTAACATCAAAGGTATGCTTACTAAAATCAATGTTGCAATGATTTAGATTGGATGAAGACAATTTTCTTCATATATAAATAAATATATCCATTAAATGAATGCCAAATAGAATGAAATCCAAGTTTAAGGTATGTACCAATTAAATTCAATTATTTAAACCCAGAGAGTATTAAAAGTATTGAAGAATTCTTATTCTGACGGTAGCTACATATGTGACAATCTCCTAGTACTAATGTGACCCGCTCATATTTAAAGAATCTGTTGAGAATAGACAATATTGCAAACCATTATTCTAGTTTGTTTTCATCATTTTGCCTAACAAATAACTGTGATCGATTTGATTAAATTAATATAAAATTTCAAAGTTTTTTTCCTGATATTTAACAAGTTATGTATGATAAATTTTTTTAGATCACAAGTCAGGTTCACATATGACTGAACATGTCCAACTGAAACTATTATTAAAGGACTAAATACAATTAATCAGTCAGTTGTTCATTCAACCTAATTAATCATGATTTAAACTAGAATAAGCATAGAATCTTAGACAGAACTCTAATGTGACAAAATGAGAACAGATGTACATCAGTGATTCATACATTTTCACGAGCAGTTTCAGTGACGACGACGACGACAACAACAACAACAGTTTACCATTGAAATCTCAAATGTGATAATAGTAGTTGAGCATTATTGTTCGGTCGATTAAAACGTTTAGAAAGGAATCAGAGATCTGGTCGTTTGACTTTGATGGTAACCTTAATCTATTTTTCTAGCCATCCATTTGAAATACTAAAACTATTACATTTGGCTGAATGTTAGTCTAAAAACAGGATATATTTAGCTTAGTTGATATTTATTATCAAGCTGTACAATCGTATATAAATATCTGAAATTTTGTTGTCAATGTACTAGTTGCGTGAGGATATATGAACAAAGAATAAATATGATGATGTTATAGAAAGATTGTAATACTAGATGTAACATGAATAATAACAATAAGAAATCGTGTATATGTAAATAGAAAGCTTTGTAAACTTATTATTTTACAAGGCTTTCTACTTGCATACACAATCTCATTTTTATTATTCATATTACGTAGTCTAGATATTCATTTTTTCAATAGATTGTTCCACAGTACATTGTAATGGGTTTTATTGATTGATTGATATATACATGTAGATATCAGTATGGGGTTATGGAGATTGTTGAGTTTTTGATTGAGATCATGAATTGATCAATCTTAGACCACCATCGAAAACCTGGGAGCACTGGATTTCTGTTTCGCCCTAGTATGGGACTCCTCAGCATTGGGCACCCACGATCCCAAACGCGAGATTCTAGCCCAGGACCCTCGGTCTCGCGTGTGAACGCTTAACCTCTAGACCATTGGGCCGGTATAGATGTAGATTCGTTGGATACTGATCACAAAACAAATTTTAAGTTCATGTACGTCGCATTGAAAAAAATAAGTAAACCACATTATTTAGAAAATATGACTGCAGACGGTAACTGAAATATGTAGTAGTATATTACCAAGTTATTGATATTTTATTGTTTTGTTTCATTCAATTTATTCGTAAATTAATTAACTACATCTTTGATAACACAATGGAAGAATAACCATAAAACGAAATTCCATACATGATTGTATTAATAAACGGAACAAATACAGAAACGTTTGAATTATAAGTGTACAAGAAGTCACGCTGATTAAATACCGAATCAAAGCAGAAACAACCTAACAGTCACAAGAAAAGTCGTGTACGGATACCATTCAGAAGAGCGGAAAGTTACTGCAATACATTCACTACTTGCTTACTTACTTATGCCTGTCACCCCCAATTGAGCATAGGTCGCCGACCACCATTCTCAAACCCACTCACTCTGTCCTGAACCTTCCTTTCTAGTTTTATGCAATTGTCATCCATTCTTCACATGTTTGTCTTCATTTTTTGGTGTAATGTGTTATTTGGTCTTCCACTTCTCCTTCGACCTTGAGGATTCCAAGTGAAGGCTTACCTTGTGACGCAGTTGGGTGATTTCCTCAATGTGTGTCCTATCCACTTCCAGCACTTCTTCCTCCACTGGAATCTGGTTTGTTCTCTCCCATAGTAGGTTGTTGCTGATAGTGTCTGATCAACGGATCCGAAGTATTTTGCATACACAACTGTTAATAAACACTTGTATCTTCTGGATGATGGTTGTAGTAGTTCTCCAAGTTTCCACCCATTCATTAGAGCTGTCTTGACATTTGTACTGAAAATTCTGACAGTTGTTTTGAGTTCCAGATGTTTTTCAGTTTTAGATATGCTGCTCTTGCTTTGTCGATCCGCACCTACACGTCTTCATTCGATCATCACTGATGCTGCCCAGATATGTGAAGGTTTTTACACCTTCCAAATCTTCTCTGTCAAGTGTGATTTGGTTGTTGCTCAGATGACGATTATATATATGAATAAAGGCATGTATACATAGATAGTCGTATATATATATGTAGAAATATGAACAAATGTTTGAACTAACTACTGGTCATCAATCAATACGTCCTTAACAATCTGTCAGTCAATAGGCCCATGATATATATGTGATGTGACATATTCTGTCTAATTTATACCTCTGAGTCAACTTGTAACTCATCAGAAGCACAAAAATCCACTTTCATTGTTGCTTCATAGTATTTTAATACTTCAATTCAAAAGGTGACCTTTTTCCTAACGATACATGATGGTGAATAACGAGCTGTCACTGTTAAGGTTCAGAAGTTTCGGTCATAAATATAATAATATCCGTTTTATAATTTACTACTGGTGAACTTATTTTTTTCTTCTATTATGGATGTTAATAGTATACTAAATGTTTAATATCTGTGTGATGGATAGTCTCAGCCACAAATAGCTGATTAATGATCACTAGGTTTTACGGCTTATACAGGTAAATCATGCGAAAACATATGACGATATTTGTTCAGTAATTTGATACTATTATGGAAAGTTACATCTGTACTAAGTATTTGCAACTATCGGATCGTATTGTCTGGACATCAGTTACTTCATTAGTAGAATTATAGCACTTAATCTCAGTCATAAAACTGTACTTAACTGTGTCAAACAACAATTTAGCTCATTTTAAAAAGAATATAGTTTCAAAGTCTCGCACATAATGGAAACTAAGTGAGAAAAAGGATGGTATTACTATAACAAAGAGAAAAGTTTAAGTAAACCTCAGAAAAGAGGTATAAACCAGCTGGGCAAATCAGCTGTTGTGATGCTGAATGTCGTCTTGAAAAATAGAATACAACTGGAGCTACTAGTCACCATTAAGTAGTATAGTCCTTATACTCAAAAGACGCATTAAGAATGATGCTAAAATATAATTATCAGATTTAGCGCTCATTAATTGAAATCAATTAAAGAGTTGGCGTCCTATCGTTTCATCCCACTCTAGGAACTCCCGAATGTCTTCCGTGTATTTTCTATGTTGCAAACGCTCTCATGACTATTAAAACGCCGACGTGATTTTCAACCCAAACATACTAACTAGTATACCTGGTCGTTCAATTTATTTCCATGTATACTACCCACTATTATTAAGTAGCGTAGATTGTATTTAAGGTACTTCAACCAACTTTCAATCTTCGATTCACAATGATCTTCATATAATCACACTATGCTTAAATATCTAAGTAGGAGGAATATACATTTTTCTGAAAAAAATAATCACACATATTACTCCTTTCTAATTTGTAAGTATCTGGTCTAATGTGTAAAAAGGTAAGAACAGATTTTATCATGGATTAATAATGTATAGACTATTTTTAGGGAAATGAACTTAAACACTTGTGATGTCGATATCTCTACTAAGTGACCGCAATTGATTACCATAGGTACAGAATGATGCTATTCAGATTGAAATTCCTTTCCTTTTCATGTCATTTTTTTTGGTTTCTTATTTGTGGGTGAGTGAGAGAATAAAATTGACGAATTTGAAAGAAGCACCGTTATTTTACTACTTATTTCTGCTCGAAGTGCTGATGTGTCAGGGGCAAATGAAAAAAACTGTAATGAAATAATTTCTCTTCGTAACCTGCAATCATATGAAATTGACAAAGACTCTCCTAAATGCAGTTGGTCTCAATAGAGCTTAAAAAGAGCAAACAACAGAAATAAACTCCGACTGTTTATTATGTCATAAGCACTTCATTTAAAATACCTGTAATAATAAACTATGGAGTATACTGTCAAGATGAATTCCAATTCCATACTTAATATTCAATCTACTGACTTATGGGTTTATGTAAGAGCATATTTGATTATGTAAAACAAACGAAACAAACTAAACGTAAATTCACTTGGTGCTGTTTTACTTGTATCTTCCCATTGTTATTTAGGACTGCAATTGATCAGGCTAATGTTAGCATATGTGCATACTGTGCGGATTGCCTCGATATAGTCTGAAGTATAAGTTCTTTAAACAAAGATGCATAGTGGCTAGCAGCGGAATCCAAGACGCACGTTTCTCCTATTCAGGACTCATTAGCTGGATGTACCTGCATCCGAGTTGAAGTTCACTCCGGGACTCGAACCTAGTACCGTTCGCGTTATCCACTTAGCTAATGAATCCCGACAGCCACCTGGTAAACATGATATATTAATTTATACTTGTGATTTTTCCGATGTTTTTGACACCAGCCATATATGTATCATCTTAAACCATAGCACAAGTAAACAAAAGCATTTATTATGTTAATTTCATTAAAATAGAAAGTATTGAAAGAAAAAAATTATCCTTTGTAATATTTTAAATAAATCTATTTTGATATTCTAAATTATAATTCGATTGAAAGGTATTACATTATAGTTTGATTTCACAAACTTATAACTTTTACATCTGTTTAATTGAACTTGATAATAAGTACGTCAGTGTGTGTATGTACGTGGACATACAATGAAGAACTGAGTGAATTAGCTCCTTCTACTACTTACCAGTTAACTTTTACAGTATTGTTTTTTTATATTCACCTATAACAGAATATTCCGTTTTATACATATTTGGTGCAGCATGAACTAGGACAGTTCCAGGATCTTGATGAGGGAAAAGAATAATAATAATAAATTATTTTTAAAATATGATTAAAAATTAAATGACTGATATAAATCTGTCCTATGCTGTTAATTAATTGTATAAGAACTTTCGTCTAAATTTGATCGAATAGTTTCACAGTATTTGGGCACCGAGTTGACGTGAGACATTACAAGGAAGAATGCATTTTCAGAATCTCAGAGAGTGAATTTGAAGTAAATACAACGTTTCGCCTGGGAATCTGGTCCAAACTTTTTTCAAGGAATTATATTATTGGTTGGAGCATATGAAATTAAAACAATAAGTTTGAACCCTTTGTTTTATATAAATAACCTCTGACAAACGAATAGGACTACTAGTTTTCACACAGGGCACAATAATCCTCCGCCTCCCTAATGAGTTGCATCAAAATAGATGAGAAATATGTCGCGTGGTTATTTTAACTTGCAAGCATGTCCGACCATTATTACGGATTTAAATGTACATGTAATACCTCATATTGAAATACTATCAAACTCTCGAAAAACATTGCTTCTTTGGACAATATTCAACTTACTGAGTAAACAGTAATTCCTATTACTGGAATTATAACTATGAATTATGTGGTAGTTATTGGCAGGCAATTAGTTATGAACAGGTTACACCCACTAAAAATAGCAATAATTAAAGAAAGTACCTAACCTGTATATGGAAAACCAGATAAATAGGTAGAAAATTTTCTAATGAATTGTTAATTACACACCTGATATAATGTTTCTTTTATGTCAATGCTAGTTTGTGAGTTTATTTTCCCTATAGTTTCCTAGTCGAAACTCTACGCGTAACACTATCAAGCTAGAAGCTGAAAGAAGCTCCAGTCAAAACAAGTACAATTTGACTTCATCTACTAAGAATAGTACCAGTAGATGCACCAAACGAAGAAATTCTGAGTAAAATTTGAGATTATAAACAGATTGTGGTATTAATCGATAACTAACGAAGTACGGAACTTGCTAAAATCCAAATGAGTAAGAGTGGTGGCTGTTTAAAGAACAATTTGATTGGTCACACCCCATTTAATTATGGACGTACGTAACAATGAGAACACTGACACATTCACCAAAATGTAATTGTTCTAGTTCATAAACCATGTCAGAATGAGACAAAAAGCTCATGCTAACTTTCAGTGATAATCAGTACCAAATAATAACAATAATAATTTTAGAAAATTTTGACATTACATTGAAGCCCAACTATCAAGAATAATATACCTGGCAGAATGAATGGTGTTTCTGTTGGGCACACTTTATCCGCTTTTCTTAATATACTATTGGGCTGTTTGTATTCCGACTGGTAAGTGCTTTCAAAACCTCTTTAGGAGAACAAAAATGTATATCAGTATAGGTATTTCAGGTGAATATATTGATTAAACGAATAAGGTATATAGCTTAATAAAATACAGAATCACGTTTTAGTTTCGCATCAAAAAATAATAGAATTGATAAAGATAGGAAATCAACCGACATCTATTACTTACTTTGGAGATGACAGCTGAGATTATTGTGATTTTTAGTGATCAAGTTATTAAAGTTAACTTTTCGGTATTTCTTCCGATAATATATATTTACCAAGTCTTCAATATCATAAAATCAACTACAGAAAACATCGACATCCAATAAAACAGAGACGTTTTAAACTATGACAAAACATATGTTTGTTACCCCTCATTTCAAAGCCTCACACAGTTCATAATAAGATCTTAATAGCATATTTTCCTTCTCAAAATCAATATTTTACAATACATCAGAAATTAAAATCCAGTTGGAGTCAACTTCGTGGTTACTACAGATAGGTCAGTCAACAAAAACGTAGGACCAGACACGTATGCATCGATCCAAGTTGCCACATCTCACTAGCACAACAAGATGAAAACCAAATTCATGGAAGTAGTTACTTCAATGGTAGTGATATATGAAAGAAAGACTGTATCAAAGAGTATAGCACAGGAAGAAAGAATCAGTTCGTAGAAAGATATAAGGCAATTTTAATCTCACGGTTTAAGTGAAGACAAAGAATTTATGCAACGACGCCAATGTGACCGGTTCTGAGCCATGTCGCCCGGAGTGTCGAACCATTGGTTGCGACAACGGTAGCAAAATTTAACAAGCACATCAGAAAAATCACGAATGACGAAGGAACAGGACCAGATAGCATACCAGCTGAAACACTCAATTCAGACATACAGTCAAGTGTAAATACCATCTATGCTCTCTTCAGAAAGATTCCGGAGGAAAAACAAGTACCACCAAACTGGAAACAGGGATACCACCTCATCAATATATCAAACAAGTAATGTACGAGGAAAGAAGAGATTACACGATCGGGTGAAACGTTCAGTAGACGACAAACTTTGAGATCAATAGTCTGCATTTCGAATGGATTGATCACATGTCAACTAAGCAGTGACGACCAAATGAGTGGAACTCATCACTATACGTCAACTTCCTTGATTATAAGAAAACATAAATTGGTGTGCACTGGAAAATATTGTGGAATCTTTTTCGACAGTATAGTGTACCTAGAAACACCGTCACAATCGCACGAAACAGTTATGAGATGCTGGATTGCGAGTTTGTTGATGGAGGGCAGCTTGCAGATGAATCCCAAGTAAATAAGTGTCAGACAAGGTTTCCTATACTCGTCTATCCACCTTGTGCTAGCTGTTAACTCGGTTATGAAGACCTCTGTTATGTCCTAGTGAAGATTAAATTATAGAAGACTTCTGAGAACTACTTAAGGATTAATATTATATATATATATGCATATTCTTAATATATAAATTTTCAGAAACTAGATTATGTATATCTATTAGTCTGTTGCTATAAGCTTCATTTTGACCTATAGATTATTATAATTATACGATTTAATTTTTTAAGTTGTGTTCAGTTTAGTGATTGCAGTCTTCCACTTTCATAGCCACTTTCTGGTTTAATCTTCTGTAAATGCTATTCCTATTTTATGGTGTGATGCGGTCTGTCTGCCTGTCTGTGTGGTATATAAACCAAGTATGTTTGGAATAAATGGTTTGCATAGTGGAAGCTGTTATTGGCGTTCTGGACTCAACTGAAGAGGATAAGATAATAAAGGACCAATAAGGAGGCTAGGCTGCTCATACTAGTCATTGGTTTCGCACAGTGCTAAGATTAAATAAGTCGTGTTTCGATTGGCGAATGAATCACGTAATAACTAGCCGGATTCAAAGGCACAACAACTTCCACATTTCAGAAGCAGCATAGAATACAGTGGACACCTTGAACTTAACTAGATGATGCGGACTTTGCAGATAACTTGGCCATGCCATCGCACAGATAACGACGCGTGTAGGTGAAGATAGGCAGTGTAACAACAGCGTCGGTATTGATATGCTTCCACATGCACAAGGGAAAAGCAAGATCTTGAAGTACAATACAAAAAACCATCAAATTAATTATACTTAATGGCAAAGCTTAAGAATACCTGGAACCTTACATGTTACTGTCAAAGCCAACGTTGGGTTCGGTAGTTTCAAATAAATCGAGTTTCGGTTAGAAAGTTAATAATAAATATATTTCTTGTTATATTCCCAATGAGTGGAAAATCGTGTTTCATTACATCAAGTCATAAAATGTCAGAAATATAATTTTCTAATCACTGGGATATAACAAAAAATATATTTATCACTTACACGTAACTGGATAGCATTATCAGCAGACAAGGAGGGTCGGATGCAGATGTCAAGACACGAACTCCCAAGTCAAGAGAGGCATTTCTAAAATTGAAGATTGTCTGGAACTCAAAACAACGGTCGCACAAAACCAAAGTCAGAATTTTCTACACCAACATTGTAGAGTCAAAACCTTGAGAACTACTGCAATCATCACCAAAGACTCGAAGTTATTGGTAGACAGTTGTCCATGCAAGATACTGCAAATCAATCTTCTAGTAAATAGTCTTGCTAGTTGTATAAAAGTTAGTAACCAAATGTTCAGAAAGTGATGAAACTTACGTATGTGCTACATGATGGGAAATCGGTTGTACTCTAGTGCTTTCTGTCGGACAATTAAACTTCAGTGTGTCAATCATAGGTTGTTTTTCGTTTCAATGCCTTCTTTTGTTATTGATCTAGTAACAAATAAATAACAACAACAAATGTCTATTGGTTGTCAAATTTATCGTTTTGAGTAAATTAAGTGAGGAAAGAATCCGGATTACAAATCTATAAATTAGATGCAGATTAATTTCAGTTTAATTATTTTATTTTCGATCGAAAGTCATGATTCACAGGAAGACGCAATAATTTGTTTTTAAAACCACAAACATGCAATAATGTTGTTATTTAAGACAGAGGTTCCGATCGTACGGCCGATCGATAGTGAAGTTAGGATAGCTCCAGTTGTCAGACTAATTTAATGACAATATGGATGAATATGATTTTTGATAATGATAAGACCCAGTCAAGTTTGTTGCTATTCATTATATTACACCCGTGGTTTGGTAACAACAGCGTGTCAGTAAATATACAACTTAGTCAACGCCTGGATTTGCATCAGATTCATTTAGAGTAACGGTATGATGTTTGTATGAACTAATGATTTCTTTGTACTTGTCGGCTGCCTGATTTCGAATTCCAAATACCACACGTTCGTTTTTGATCACCTGGTTCTAATTGTCACAAATTGCACTGTTTCGGGGATTGCCAGTTCATACAATAATTCAAATACTTATAATTATCACAAATGCGTCTTCCTCTCCATCAATATTTTCTCTAGAATATCTCTTAACTAACTCAAATGCTAATCTCACGGGAAACTCAAGGGAAATTTCCATTTTCATCCACATTGTTTCTACTTTTTAAGCGTAGTAAAATTAATTTTTGTGTTTTGAGATGAGTTCCCGTTTTGTGCAGAAAAACATTCGGCTGATTTATTTTGGTGAATGACAAATTTAGATGGTAGAAACTTGTCCACTTCCAAGTAGCTTACAGCTGCTAAGAAATAGAACAGAAATCGATGGCCGGATTGTTTCAGCAACTATCATTTTGACATTCGCTTCGAAAACAAAAAAATAAGAAGGCAGGAGTTTGATTCCAACAAAAAAGGTCATAATTAGGCAAAACAGATAACGTAAGACTGACATACTTGGAGTCTAAACCAAACACGTTTGGCTTCAAGTAGTCTGTTGAATTCCAGTATGTTGGTATATTCTTTTGAGATATTTCCTTTAGTTCTTCAGGTTTCCAAACCCTATGATCTTTCATATATGTCGTAAGATATGGATCCATGTATCTTAATATTTCTTGTCCTTGGGATATGACACTCTGCCTGATAAACTGGCGTTTTCAGTAGACGGGATGATGTTCTTGAAGTTTAATGCTATAACATAAGTGATTTACTTTGGATGGTCCATCCTTATGATGATCTTCAATTTCAAAAGGTCGCATTGATAATGGACGCCACAGTTCACTGAGCCTATCAACACTACTATATGATTCTTTTGTTTCAGTTGTCTGATGACTTGGGCTTAGGGTCTTCTGTAGCCTCCACGGAGAAATCGTGAACGAAAATCATTTATGTAGTGAACATCCCAGTGATGGGGTGGTAGAGGATTTTGTGGACACTTTAAACAATCCTTCGGGACCTTCCGATCGTACCCAAGCCTGTTCGACGTTTGATACTGATCGTCACACTTAACTGCAGATTCGGGCTCTAAACTCCATGTAAGTCTTTTACTAAGTTTGGCCTTAATTGTAAAGCAAAATAAGGAACTATGTTGAGAAGTATTATCATACCATTGTATCAGAATCAGGGAAATAAAACTCTTTCCTCCAGTGATGTCCAACTCCATAAGAAGTTTTGAATAAATCATCACTTTGCATAATATCTCGACCGTCATTTAAACTTGGCATCACGAGCAAACTGTTGCTATAGCAACCACTATTTCAGTCTTCAGTAATAAGGATAGTAGGTTGATGAACCTGTATTAATCTTGACACACTGCTTTCCAGTGAAGGTCCAGCTTCTCCTTGGAAGTATTCACTGATGGAGCTGATACCACTTGTTCGGGTAAGGCGTTCCAATGATTGACTACTCGATGAGAAAAACGGGACCCCACTTTAAGTTTATTAGATCTTGGTTTATGAACCTTCTTGCTATGACCTCGGAGATTATTAGTGCTGGAGGGAGCAAAAAGATAAGACATATTAACACCCAAATCATAATTAAAGATACGAAATGCCAGTATAATGTCACCTCGTGTCCTACTGTAGCGGTAAATAAATCCCCAAAATAAATAGCACTAAGTTTTCGACATTGGATGCTGACCATATGTTTTAGTGGACTCATCTAGCTGAAGGCGCTCGGTCAGGCATCCGCACCAGATCACGTGTAGTAACGCCGTGCTCAACATCAACCACAATCGCTAGCCAGATTAGATCAGAGAATCCCGATATATTGGTCATCGCCAAATATACTCTTCCGATCTCCTCGACTCTGTCTTTTGATTTCTCTTGGTGGGAACGAAATATATTAGAAGGTGTTACTGGTAGAAGCGTTGTCAAACACTGAATACCTGTGACATCATCATTGGTGAGACCGTCGTGATCTGGTACACCTTATTGCAACTGTGAGTCTGTTCCTTTTTGGGATTTTTATATATCATTGCCTTATTTTTTTTAAACATTGTGATTTTTTTCGTGTTTTTTCTTGGATATATATATATATATTTTCCCCTCGTTCATTATCGTACTTCATATTTCATCATGACTGAACAGACACCTAAAGTACTCAAGCTTAAGACCTTGTCCCCACCTTCGTTTCAACTGATGCCTTTCTGGCCCGACAACATCGAAGCCTGGTTTTGCTACGCAGAAGCCGACTTTTCCGAGCACGGCGTGATCGACACACGTGCACAATTCCTCGCAGTAGTCAAGGCACTACCGCGCGAATTCAACAGGTACGTAACACCTAGTATGTTTACTAGTGATGTTTCCGATCCTTACGAAATCTTAAAACGCTCGATTCTTAAACGAGGAGACCTAACCGATCGACAAAGGTTAGATCAACTCTTCAACAATATCGACCTGCAACACGGTTCTGCGACGGACATGTTGCAACGGATGAGAGAGGTTATAGGCCCAAGAACTTTCGACGAAGGTCTATTCAAACAACTCTTCTTGTCAAAACTTCCCCAACAGGTGCAAGCAGTTCTGGTCTCGTTCCAGAACAACGCCTTAGACGAACTAGCTGTATCTGCCGACCGCATTCTAGAAATTACGAAACCTTCTACTACCGAGGTATTTTCAGTCAAAGAAAAGCCTCACACGACTCAGAATGACATAACCGACTTATGTCACACACTCACGCGTTATCTTAGTCTTCGTACCGACCGTAAGAGATCGCGCACACCACGTAGAAGCATTTCTCGTAAGCGATCTGTCTCTAGACAACCCCGACTGGTGCTGGTATCATAACCAGTATGGAAAGTTTTCCAGAAATTGCAGAAAACCCTGCAATTTTCCCAACACGAAACCGACTGATTCGAAAACAATTCGGGAAACTTCCAAGCCGGCACGCGTTAACGGCAACCGTAGCCGGCGAACAAAGCCGTCTGTTATTCGTCACAGATGTGACAACGAGAGTTCGCTACCTCGTCGACACTGGCGCAGAAGTTAGCGTTCTCCCAGCAAATCCTAACGACCGACTTCACGAATCGACCCTAAACTTACAGGCGGCAAACGGAAAACCGATCGCTACGTATGGCAAAAGGTACGTTTACCTTAACGTGGGTTTACGCAAACCCATCCACTGGATTTTCGTCGTTGCAGATGTTTCTATGCCAATCATTGGTATGGACCTTCTACAACACCACAATCTGATCATCGACACTCGCAAACGGAAACACTAATTTGTCCGTTTGCGTAACTTCTTTTACTGGTTGTAGAGTATCCCCAGTCACAGTTAAACATATGATAGACCCACTCTATCAACCACTACTCGATAAGTACCCTGGGATACAACAAACTCAACCGAAACTACCGTGTGTAACCAGCAATGTTACACATCACATCACGACTACAGGACCACCTGTATTTTCTAAAGCACGACGACTAGCTCCTGAAAAGCTAAGGTTAGCGAAAAACGAATTCGATCACATGATGGACTTAGGAATCATACGACCGTCAAGTAGCCCATATGCATCTCCGTTGCACATGGTCCCTAAAAAGGACAGCAACGATTGGCGTCCAACTGGTGACTATCGGCGATTGAACGCGAAAACCATTCCCGATCGTTACCCGTTGCCTCACATTCACGATTTGACAGCTACCTTGAAAGGTACAACTGTCTTTTCGAAAATCGACTTGGTTAAAGCGTATAACCAAATCCCTATGGCTACTGACGACATACCGAAAACGGCTATCATAACTCCCTTCGGACTCTATGAATTTTTGCGAATGCCTTTCGGTCTAAGGAATGCTGCTCAAACATTCCAAAGATTCATAGACGACGTTTTTCGAGGTCTCAACTTCGTACACGCGTATGTTGACGACTGTCTAATCGCAAGTCCGGACAGAGAAACACATCTCAAGCATCTGGACCTTGTTTTCGAACGATTACAAAAACATGGCATAACTGTAAACGTTCAGAAATGCCAATTTGGAACCGACTCGTTAGACTTTCTGGGACACACTATCGATGCTCAAGGTATCCGACCCCTTAGAACCAAAGTGGCGGCCATTCTGGATTACCCAGAACCGACCACCGTCAAGCAATTACGCACGTTCAACGGCCTGGTAAGTTTCTATAGACGTTTCATACCCAAATGCGCATCACTTATGAAACCTCTGACCGACCAACTTCGTGGAAATGCGAAATCCATTAATTTGGACGACACCGCACGAAAAGCATTCTCCACAGTTAAGGAACTGATTGCTAAAGCAACAATGCTCGCACATCAGGACACCCGAGCACCCATTAGCATCGCAGTAGACGCATCCGACTCAGCAATCGGAGGAGTCTTACAACAATGGGTTAACAACTCCTGGCAACCCTTGGCATTTTTCTCTAGAAGGTTGCTAGACACCGAATCGAGGTACAGCACATTCGGTAGGGAACTCCTAGCTATGTATTGTGCTGTACGGCATTTCCAACACTATATCGAAGGCCGTGAATTCACTCTTTTCACGGACCATAAACCGCTCACTTTCTCGTTAAGCTCTCCTTCTGACAAGTACTCTCCCCGTGAGTCTCGACAACTGGACTACATTTCGCAGTTTACTTCAGATATTCAACACATCTCTGGAGCAAACAATGTAGTTGCAGACGCTTTATCTCGCATAACTTCCTTGAACAGTTTCCAAGGAATCGACCTTCTTAAACTCGCCGAGCTTCAAAAAGAAGACAGTGATCTTCAGCACGAGTTATCGTCCACAACACTTAAACTACGCATCAAACAGATGGGAACAGGTAAGGAAACCTTACTTTGTGACACATCTACAGGTAGGGATCGCCCAATCGTGCCGAAACATTATCGACGCAATGTCTTCAACACATTGCACAAACTTTCTCATCCAGGTGTTCGTGCAACCATCAAGCTTATAGCAGAACGATTTTGCTGGCCTGGCATGAATAAAGACGTGAGGGAGTGGGCACGCTCCTGTGTAAGCTGCCAAAAATCTAAGGTTATCAGACACAATAAATGTCCCTTAGGCTCGTTTAAAACTCCCGATGCTCGTTTCGACCATGTTCATCTGGATTTGGTAGGACCTTTACCAGATTCAAATGGATACTCTTATCTCTTAACCTGCGTAGACCGTTTCACTCGATGGCCAGAAGCAGTACCTATCAAGGACAGCACTGCTGAAACAGTGGCCCGCACATTCGTCGAACGATGGGTAGCAAACTTCGGTTGCCCTTCAACCATCACTACAGACCGCGGACGTCAGTTTGAATCTGATCTTTTCCGTCGTCTGACCACACTTTTAGGAATCACTCGCTTCCGAACGACCGCCTACCATCCACAAGCAAACGGGTTGGTAGAACGTTTTCACCGACAACTGAAAGCTTCGCTATCAGCTGCAAACGTTTCACAATGGACCGACGCTCTTCCACTCGTCTTACTAGGTATCCGCAATGCAGTGAAAGCTGACATTGGATACACTGCGGCTCAACTCGTTTATGGAACGACACTTCGACTTCCAGGAGAATTCGTGGATCCTTCGTGCTCTTCGATGAACATGGATCTAACCTCCTACACGAACAGGCTTACAAACGCAATGCGTTCAGTTAAACCTGCTTCCACTCGACCTCAATCAACTGATGTTTTCGTTCAACCTGACTTACGATATAGTACACACGTTTTCATTCGTCGAGACTCGCATCGACGACCATTCGAATCAGCATACGAAGGACCCTTCAAAGTTCTTCAACGTGAATCTAAGTACTATATAGTCGATAAGAACGGAACCAACGATAGCATCAGCATCGATCGCTTAAAAGCAGCGTATTTAGAAGGAAATCCTATCCACGTCGATTTTCCTTCGGTACAATCGAACGACACGACTCAGACACTAATAATACCTCATCCGACAACCAACACACACGAAGATACTTCGACAGTATCCGAAAATAAACTTAAAACGACGCGTTCTGGAAGAAGGGTGAGATTTCCAGAACATTTAAACGACTATTGCACGTAAGGCACTTCTCGACATTTTATATTATTTTTTTTAAAAAAAAACAATTTTAATATGCTTATATATTTTTATTTCTATTAAAAAAAAAAAAATTTTTTAACGCTATTACGTGCTCATGAGTTTATTTTCCATTTTTTTTCCGCCGACCTTGTGTTTTTACGCATATACGAGTGTATTTTCGACAT